ATGCTGTAGATGCTGTTATGGACTCTTGTTAATTCAAATTTCCAGTCAGCATCTTGGCCCTGAATCAGTGGAAGTGTTCACTTCAGGATAAAAGAGAGCAGTGGGGGGAGATTTGTGATGCCCACATACGTATGTTCTCCTAATCCATTCATGACCTGCACATCAAAAGCATTCCTGAAAATGGCTGCCGCAATTAGCGTTGATTGTTTATTCCGTCTTGATGCATGGAGCGAGTATGTGGCTTCTGATTCAAACATGGCTTCAAGGCAGAGTGCATGCATCAATAAATTACAGGGACGCAGTGTAGAAACCTGCCAATAAAGGCAGTGACACTGATTGGTTTTTGGAAAAGGGAGAGTAGTCAACATACACAGCTGCTGAACCTTGACTCGGGAGTGAGGGGAGGGACGTGCTGAGCTCACATTCATTGTTGCTGCCTGATATTCCAGCGCTGGTCAGTGGAGTACGAGCCCTTCAACATGCTGCACCCACCAGTGTGCTGTGACAATGTCACTTATCAGAGACACTGAACGATGCGTTTTGTTGAACCAAAGTAGATCTTAAAAACTGTCACCTGCCCCGACGCTACATTCGACTGGTGATGTGTGAAAATATTTGGCTCACTTGGCTCCTTGTAACACTTTTAATATGTTGCCAGTTTGAGCACGAGAACGATGTGGCAGAGACGATTTGCCTGCGACGCTCATTTTCTCAGCCTGCAAAATCAATGTTTGTTGGAACAAAACAAAAAGCCAGACTTTAGCTTGACAGATGGACGCACACATGCATCTGACTGGAAGCATGACATCATCCCCTCAGGCCAAATCTCTGCACGGCATTTAGTACCGAAGCAGACTGGCAACTTTCCTCTGGGAAGTACATGCTGGTTCCAGGTCGAACAGCCAACAAGTCATTTAAGGTCAACCAACTCCTTCACACACGGCACTTTCTTTTTAAATCTAGTTATCGAGTCCCAGTAAACACATAGAACTTTTACAACTATCTAACTCTGCTTTAAATGACATGATAAGTAGCAAATCTGGTATGCAGCCTACTAATTTTAGCTTTGTTTATAAAATCCAGAGGTAAATTAAAAGTTGCTCTGTTGGGTATATCTGTGTTCTCTTCCCGTCGCTTGAATGCTCCCCTTCATACATGCAGGAGGCATTCATGTACTTATTGTACACAAGAGCATGCATGCATGTATGTATTATAGCTGTTAACGTTAACGCGTTAACGCGTGAGATTAATTTGAAATGATTTAATGAGTTTAATTTTACATGATGCAGATTAAACCATCACTATATTGTTTACCGATGTTCCATATAAGATGCACAATCACGCACTGCTCGCACATTCTCTGTGCACAAGAAGAGCGCAGCACCACCTTTCTAAGATGTGTTCAGAGTGGAGGAGACCCCCCACCCCCCAGGTCAAACAGACCTGCGTCACGTGATTTGTCTAGCAAAGATGGAAGTTTACGAAGAGGTAACAATTTCAACCAATGAAATCACAGGAGAACTTTCATTCCAGCCAATCAGCATCTTCTGGAGTTTCAGCGCTACGTGCAAACAGCTACGTAGCTACAAACAACCTCGTCTTCTAGAGCTTTTCAAGGTTTTATACACATTTCATCGCATACTGAAGAGGAATATTTGACGTGGATTTATCATGTACGACGTCAAACAAAGGCGGTAAGTAAGCTAATCCTACAACTTGTAGCTGTTTTTATCATGCTAAGCGTTAGCAAACAGTAGTGCTCCGTGGTCATGTGCATGGTCAAAGGAAACGTTGGTAAGACAGTGGTGAGACCAGCTGGTCTGGAGACAGTGGCTTTGACTAAAGACACCGGAGACAGAACTGGACGTGGCAGAAATGAAGATGTTGAGGTTATTAGGAGTGACGAGGACAAGAGCCGACAGAGATCTGTGTTCTACCAGCTGACCACAGTAATCCTGTGTCTCATGTTTAACCGTTACTTTTTTACTTGAGACTGTAAATGTTTTCTGTTTTCTTCAAGAGCTAACAGCAAAGCTGCACGCTAACTACGGCCGGCTTGCCGTCATGTTGCCGTATTCAGGCGCATGTGCAAAAGTTAAAGTAATATTCAGAGTAAAAATAACTGTTTGAACTTATTAACTTATTGAAGTTTACACTCACGGCCACTTTACCAGTTACCAGTTTTAATCTGGAACGATTGTTTAAAGTAGTACAGTCAGGGATTTTTGTTACCTTTTTATTTCTCTACCTAACTAGTTTACACTGCCACTTTACTAGTTTCTGTCTGAAAAGATTGTTTACAGCGTAATATTTCGTTATTTGTTACCTTTTTATACGTTTATGTCATCACTGTTGTAAACTGATGTTCACACTGTTATTTGACCTGTTCTAATGTGAACAGCTGTGATTGTTTAAAGTTGAACATTTAGTTATATGTTACCTTTTATTTTTTATCACTGCTCTATATTAAAGTTTGCACATTTTTATTAGTAGTTTTATTCTGACATTTTCAGTGTGATATTCATTACAGATTTTTTGTTCAAATACATTTTCAAATGTCTTTGTTTACACTGACAACATTATAGACTTGTTTTCAAAACTCGTTGTTGTGGCACAAAGAAATATACGAGAACATTTAATTATTTTCCATCATTTATTCACAATATGCAAAATGTTAGAGTTCATGTTCAGCTGACGGGGTCACTTGTTCCTGGTTTCAGAACAACACTGGGACACACATTAGTCAAAGCACAACACACAGTCACAATTTGTTCCAGTAAAACCAGTGTGGCGGTCAGTGCTGAAGAGATGTGGCAGATTCAGCCTCTGGAGCATTAGAGTTAGGAGGAGCATCTGAAAAGATGCAAGTTTTCAGGTTGTCTGTGGTGGACGGAGAGGAAGTGGAGTCAGCGCACCCATCAAACCAGCTAAACGTGGAAGCCCAGTGTGGTACCTGACCATCACATGATCCTGGAAGAACTGCTCATCCATTTTCTTTTGGGACAGTTCCTCCTTCAGTTTCCTGTTCTCCTCCAGCAAGCAGTTAATTTCAGCACGTCTGTGGCTGCACAGTCTGCAGCCCAGCTGTCCACCTCTGGACCCTGGGGGTGCAGCTTCATCCATCCCTGATGTCTGCGCAGCTTCATCCAGTGGTTGCAGGTACAGTGTTGCAAGGAGCCCAGTCCGGATGACTCAAGACCTTCATAATCTGGTTTGCCTGAACAATAGACAGAATTTGTGGATTATTGATGTAGCTCTGCAGCTTGTGTAAAGTTAGCAAGCTAGCTGCTGATGCTAAGACAGCTAGCAACAAGTCAACTCTGATCACCATATGTGCAGTAATCAATCACCACAGGACTGAAACATCATTTGATTCATCCTTACCTTTGTGAAAATGCCGTGAACACACAAACGTGTCGGGAAATATTACTGAAGGTGATGTTTGTTCATCTTACAGCTGAAACTCGTGCCAAGCGACGCCTCTATGTTAGCTCGGCCACCTGAGTTGTTTCCAAACTGAAAAGCTGAAAAAACTCTCTCCATTTGCGAGACGTGTCCTCTACGAGCGTGAGAACGAGTGTGGCAGTTGACAACACAGCAAGCTTTCACCGTTTCTTTGTGAGTTCACACAAGATGATGTAAAATAAATGGCACAGCGCCTTTCAGGGTCCTAAACTTCTGTGTCCTCTGTACCAGTAATGCACTGTTTCTCATGTCGACATCACCACCCCATTCTCTACCAGCAATGAGATGAAGTTAGAGAGGACACACTGAGCTGGTGTGGACATGTCCAGAGGAGGGACAGTGGTTTGGACATGTCCAGAGGAGGAACAGTGTTTGGACATGTCCAGAGGAGGGACAGTGTTTGGACATGTCCAGAGGAGGGACAGTGGTTTGGACATGTCCAGAGGAGGGACAGTGGTTTGGACATGTCCAGAGGGGGGACAGTGGTTTGGACATGTCCAGAGGAGGGACAGTGGTTTGGACATGTCCAGAGGAGGGACAGTGTTTGGACATGTCCAGAGGAGGGACAGTGGTTTGGACATGTCCAGAGGAGGGACAGTGGTTTGGACATGTCCAGAGGAGGGACAGTGGTTTGGACATGGCCACAGGAGGGACAGTGTTTGGACATGTCCAGAGGAGGGACAGTGGTTTGGACATGGCCACAGGAGGGACAGTGGTGTGGACATGTCCAGAGGAGGGACAGTGGTTTGGACATGTCCAGAGGAGGGACAGTGGTTTGGACATGTCCAGAGGAAGGACAGTGGTTTGGACATGTCCAGAGGAGGGACAGTGTTTGGACATGTCCAGAGGAAGGACAGTGGTTTGGACATGTCCAGAGGAGGGACAGTGGTGTGGACATGTCCAGAGGAGGGACAGTGGTGTGGACATGTCCAGAGAAGGGACAGTGGTCTGGACATGTCCAGAGGAGGGACAGTGGTGTGGACATGTCCAGAGGAGGGACAGTGGGTGTATTGGTAGAAGGATGTTAGAAATGCAGCTGCAGGAAAAAGACAAAGAGGAGACACATGATGCAGTTAGAGAGGACATGGAGGTAGTTGGAGTGAGGACAGAGGACACAGAGGACAGAGGACACAGAGAGATGCTCAGGGAGCTTGTGTGTTTGCCAAGAGCCATGAACAATTCGAGGGACCATTGCTGTTTTGATCACATAGATGACACTTAATGAGATGATAATGAGTTAACATTCATACATTTTGTCTGAAACAAAATGTCTTCTGTAAACCTTGCTGAGTCTGAAAACCTGGAAAACTGTTTGGTTTGACACAATAAAACTTTTTCTTGAACATTTTATGAAAACCTGCATGTTTACATTTCAGGCTTACAAAGTTAAGCAAAGTGATTAATCAGATTAATCACAGCCTCAGAGTGTGAATAATCTGATTACATTTTTCAATCGATTGACAGCCCTAGTATGCGTGCATGTGTGCGCACGCACAAACGTATATATATATACTTTAGTTGATTTCTTATCTTACCCCTTGGCCCCAGGAGCAGTGGTGAAGGCTTTAGGGCTTCCACCATTGTTGCTGTTGCTCTTCTTAGTGGAGAGGTCCAGGACACCATCTGAGGATAATAACACGAGTGTAAATAAATACATACATAAATAAATTCATAAATTCAATTCAATTCAGTTTATTTAAATTAGTGCCAAGTGACAATCAGAATGAAAATCAGAATCAGCTCTACTGTCAATGCACAGAAGCACAACATAATTACATTACAGTCCAGCCCATCTGAAGAAACACAAACAGACCAACAACAGACAGGGTAGACGGGTGCCTGAGGCCGCAGCCTCACCGAGAGCCACTTCCTTTTTGACATGAGGGGGTAATAAATCATATCTTACACTGTGTCCCCAACAGGACACAGCTTGAGGCTGCAACAAAACCCCATACAAAAAAAAATCTACATACAAGTGACATACAGACATATGCATGTGGAGTGGGTGAGGGTGGGGGTCCCAGCACCGGCTGCCCAAGTGAGCAATGCAGCCACTGGCACCTTCGCTCAGTAGAGCTCTGAATCAGGGTCATGTTCTTGGGGAAGGAAGTGGGTAGGGGAGGGGGGACCAGAGCGTCTTGCTCACATAACATGCAGGACAATTTGAAATAGTCAACCTTCCAAGACCGACACGGGGGGGAACCAGATTGAAATAACAACAGTTGTTTTGGGTCAGGCCGAGCTCTGTTAAAGGCAGAAACAACAATTCACGAGTTCTGCCTGACCCAAACTGCAGCCTTGATGCCGGACTTATCTCAACTCCTCCTGGAATGTTTGGAAAACAGCAAAGATGCTTTGACTGTCTCCTCACCCCTCCCTTCCCCAAGGACATGTGACAGAACCTCAACTGAGCTGATGATGAATGTCACCTCTTATCTGGACCATGCTACGACTTTCCCTTAAAAATTCTCTGTCTTCACGGCCTATATGTTCATGTATAACGTCTGTTTATGTTGCTTTGCTGTGGGAGGTGTTTTTGATGCCTCAAATCGTGCCCTGTCTAGGACACGGAGTGAGAGATCTTTTTTATACCGTCTCTCCTCATGTTTTCTTCCCTTTTCTCATCTAAGCAGAATATTATTCTGAATAAGAATAAGCAGGCCGCACTTTTAATAGCAGCAGCTTCGTGCACTCCGCCCATCTTTCAGACGACTGTACGTACATGTTCTCGTTGTATCAGTACAATGATAATAACGTTTGTTCTTCTGATTCTTAATTTCCATCTGCCTTTTACAGTCTCGCTAGTATGTCTCAATGGCGACTCCAAACAGCCAAATTGTGGTCACATATGCCGAGTCGAGCCTACAACTTCTCTGAGCTCTATTCCTTCTCGCCAGCGAGCTTCAGGAGCTGTAAATAGTTTGCGATTCTCAACAAGAGTCACATCCAGCTTATGGCTCAGCTCGCACAGCATTTGAGTCTGAGTGTTGACAGCATGACACATTCCTTCACACATGCCGGGAAGCCTGACAGAACAGTTGCTGATGTTTTCTGAATTTGTGGATATGCCAGGTAGCCACCAAGTCTAAAAAGCAGAAATCCTGTTAACATAAATCCAATTATGAACACATCTTCAGCATCCTCGACTGACAAGACGGACAGACACACGATCTTCCATTTCTCCCAGTAATCCATTGTGTATTGGGCTGCCGGTGTCCCATCAGGGCAAGGGGGCTGTCCTTAGTCTTGTCTTCTCCTTGAGGAAATTTGATCTATTGCGTTGAGAGACCAGTTGACCAGATCCATAATTTACAATTTGGAAGATAAGCAAAAAAAAAAAAAAAGGCTCTAAAAAGGTTCACAGGACAAAGAGCAGAGCAGGGAAGAAACAGGAGGGAAAAGTGTCTGCCTTCACCGAGAGCAAGAAGGAAACAAACAAACAAAAAAATGTCATCTCAGGGACTGAACAGAAACATTCATATATAAAAAATAATGTTAACACAATTTATCTGAGGAGCAGCTTTGAGTTTAACTCCATCACAGAACTCTCATCTTGAACAAGCATGAAGGCGACAGTGGAAAGAAAAACTCCCTCGTGAGGAAGAAACCTTTAGCAGAACCAGGATCAGGACAAGAGGACCATCTGCTTCAACTGGCTGGGTTTGGTAGGAATAGATACACAATGGCAGGTCAAGAATCACATGTTAAGATAGAACTAGTATCAAATGAAAACTATTCAATTTTAACAATTCATTTAAGGAAATGAGGTCAGTTTGTCCTCTAGTAGTCTAAGTCTATAGCAGCATAACAAGACGACCCTAACTATAGGACTGAACAAAAAGGAAAGTCTTAATCCCAGTCTTAAAACTGGACAATGTGTCAGCCTCATGGACAGAAACTGGAAGTTGGTTCCACAAGAGAGGAGCCTGAGAACTGAAAGATCTTCCTCCCATTCTGTTTTTGTAAATTCTAGGAACCACAAGTAAACCTGCAGTCTGAGAGTGAAGTGCTCTGTTAGGAAAATATGGAACAATAAGATCTGTAATATAAGATGGAGCTAGGTTGTTGAGGGCTTTGTAGGTTAGAAGTAAGATTCTGAATTCTATTCTGGATTTGACAGGGAGCCAATGGAGAGAAGCTAAAACTGGAGAGACATGATCTCTCCCAGTAACTCCAGTTAAGACTCTGGCAGCAGCATTTTGGATCAACTGAAGA